GCACATTGGGAGGATGTGTTTCCAGATACATTAAAAAATGCTTGGCATAATTTATGGTCAGCTGCCATATTTCATTGTGAGGACGATGAAGATGATAGCCACGAAGTTGAAGGTTTTCGGACATCGCAAACTAAAGGTGTTTTCCAGTTATTGGATTTTGTAAAGAAATGTGGAGAAGCAGTTATAAATGAAGATGATATAACAGAAGTTTTTCATTGCGACGACAATGCCCCAATCATCAATCAATTAACAGACGGCAAAATCTGTAGCATGGTTCTCGATCTAGGAAATACCGCTTCTGATAGGTGGAACTTGTAACTGAACAAGAAATTATGTCTGTTTATAGAATTAAAGAGAAAGTATTAGCACAAAAAACGAAGCAATAAAGTAAACAAATAAATTTTAAGCTTTTTTGGGGTAATTTGATACTCTTTAGATCATAATTGCTCTTTATTTCATAAATTACGGTTTAATATTTTTAATTGTATAATTTCTGCATGCCATCTTATCAGATTTAAATTGATGATCTAGAATCTGGAAAAAACCCTAACCCGGAATCGCCAAAATCCCGATAAGTCCGGATTACGGACTTTGTACCGTATATTAATTCTTTTAAAAGTTGGTATGATGTTTTTAATTCGATATTCAATTTAAGTAATATTTTAATCCAATTAAACGTTGGCACAATGTTTTTATAGTGGTGTTTTTATTTTATTTCTTTGCTATACAGTACGAAGTCCGTAATTCGGACGTCTATTATCCGAATGATCTATAATCCGGACCTCAAAGCCACAAACTTATGCATGCACGTTTCATGCGAGCATCCGCTATGCATGTGCATAAAGCCAGTAAATTGTTTACTCATGCGCGCTTCCAATAGTGAAGAAAGTAACAGAGAACGTTATTGAAAACGAAAAAATTTCGATTGACAAGTTAGTCAGTATTCTTAACACAGCAATTACAGGACTTGAACAGTGGAACTTTGTAACTCAACAAGAAATTATGTATGTTTATAGAATTAAAGAGAAAGTATTAGCACAAAAAAATGAAGCAACTTAAACAACTTACATTGAAAGAAATGTTTACTAAAATAAACAAATAAATATTAAGCTTTTTTTTAAGTTTTTTTAAGTTTTTTTTAACTTTTTTTAAATTTAATAATAAGCTTTTGTGTGTGTGTGTGTGTGTGAGAGAGAGAGAGAGTTTTGTTACCCTTTAGATCATAATTGCTCTTTATTTCATGAATTATGGATTCATATTTTTAATTGTATAATTTCTGCATGCCATCTTACCAGATTTAAATTGAGGATCTATAATCCGGAAAAACCCCTATTCCGGAATCGCCAAATTCCCGATGAGTCCGGATTACAGACTTTGTACTGTATTAATAATTAGTAATAATTTAACCTTACTTTAGTATTTTATACTCATAGTAAATGTATTTATTTACATTTGCCTGCCATCTTAAAAAATGACATTTTCAACAATAAATTAATCCATTTTTTTAACAATATTCATTTTGAATACTTGACTATGCGTAAAATACGTAAAAACAGCATTTTTCAAGATGGCTGACGAATGTTAAAACCGTGCCAACAATTGTGCCAATGTAAATTTCCAAAAATCTGTGCAACCATCTACCAAAGTAGCCCCAAAATTTCTCTTCCAAAAAAAATCCTTGCTTTTCTGTATCCAGAATTAGCCGATGAACCATTTCAATGTATTTAAATTATAATAGCTCACCTGAAAATTCTGGCCTCTCCCCAAAGCAAAGAAAAAACAAAGTAAATTACAATTAGAATATTGTACCTTAAATAAAGAGAATTCTATTTAAAGAATTGAAAAAAATTATTTTGTAATTATATACACACACACTTATATATATATAATTTTGATACCCTTTTATTTATGAATTATCCTGATTAAGATAATCTTTTATTTATGAACTACCCTGATTTAGATAATCTTATATATAGTGTGTTTCAAAAAGAATAGACATATTTCGAATGCATATATTTATTAAACTGTATGACATAGAAATATGAAACTTTACACACATATGTACAAAACTCTCAAGTTCAGATTATAGATGTTACACACGTTCAATATGTCTTCCATCAGTGACATGAACAATATCACATCGATACTTAAATTCCTCCCAAACTTGGGCAAGCAGGTCCATCGTCACTGATGTTATGATGGTATTGATCCGGTTCTTCAGCTCTTCCAGGTTTTGTGGGCATGGTGGTACATAAATGTTGTCTTTAATGAAACCCCACAGGAAGAAGTCAAAGAGTTTCAAATCCGGTGACTTTCGAGGTCAGCTGAGACATGCTAAGTCACCTGCTCCTTGACAACCAGTTTGGTAGAATTTCATTCAGATAATCACGCACTTGGCGACACCAGTGAGGGGGTGCCCCGTCTTCTTGAAAAATGAAGTTGTCTTTGTGCAGCATCAGAAACAGCCAGTTTTGTAACATAGGGAGATACTGCTAACCGTTAACCGTGTTTCCATCAAAGAAGAATGGGCTGTAAACAGATGGTCGGGATCTTGTACATGTTCAATGGCTGTAGGTGGGTTCTGTAGGCCCCAAATTCGAACACTGTGTTTGTTTACATGACCACAAACATGAAATGTCATTTCATCACTGAATACAATGTGTTGGGCGAAAGTGTTATCATTGTCAATAGCATCAATAATCTTGTTACAAAATTCCACACGATTGCGTTTGTCATCAAGACACAGAGCCTGTAACGAATGTAACTTGTAATGCTTCATAATCAACCAACATCTCAAAACACACCGAATAGGCAGTTGTAACTCCTGACTGGCATGACGAGTTTATTTTGAAAGACTACGTTAGAAAGCAGTTTGAATTTATGCAACATTTTCGTCTGGAACACGAGTGCGGCCAGGACTCTTTCCTTTACATACACATCCTGTATTTACAAAGTGTCCATAGCATTTGCAAATGTTCCACCCATTCAGAGGATCACTTTGGTACCTCAACTTGAAACGTCTTTGCACTGTAATCATGGAATTGCACTTTGCAAACACGAGAACACAAAATGATTTCTGCAGCGGAGTAGTAGCCATTTTAAACACGTGATGGTTACCATGAAAAACAGAAGGCAACTGACATTTAGCAGCTATCAATATAAACTAGACTACGTATTCATTTCACCAATAGCTGAGCTGAGGGGCAATGATTGATAGTTTGGACATAATAACACTTGTGACGAACCTGCATTTATCCATGGCGGCCCGTAGAGCAATCACAAAACATCCGATGGTTCAGTTTTTATAATGCTATTTCTTATTCATTATATTTACATATTTACAACTGTCCTATTGTTAGGTGGACTACCTTCACAGAAATCATGTTGCCTAATCAAACGATATTTCGTTTCTACTTACATGCATTGCGCTACTGCCAAGCAGCGCCCTCTACTTCTCTCTTTACAACAACACTTTGTAATACGTATATTCTTTTTGAAACACAGTGTATATGAACATAATCACCAAAACTTTTTATCAGACCATATTTTTTTGACTCAATTTATTTAAATTAAACTAATGTTTTGGATGGAAGAAGGGCTACTTGGCCTGAATCACACAAAATATTGATAGTTTGCCACAAGTTCTATTCTTGACAACTGAACAGGTTGGTAGCATGAGGTTTTTCCTATGTCTAATGCAAATATACACCAGTTTTGTTCTTCTAGAAAAGCATCCCTCACTTCAGGCAGATGGCCTTTGCACGTTTTGCCATAAAAATGATTCAATTTAAAAGAATTATTAAGAAATATAGCTTTAGAAATTCCGAGCAATACTGAATATTCATAATAGAATGTCCCAGTTTCATTGGTATAATATAACAGTTTAATTCAGACTACTTACAACAAAACATACACAACATTGAAGGTAAACTAACCAAGTTTTTCCTACAAATGTTCAATATGTACATCTTTAATTATACAGCTCATATCCAACCTATATTCTAATTCTTCCCACACTTTGGTTAACAAGTCCAGAGTAATGGAATAATAGTCTCTTCAATTCGGTGTTTCATCTCTGGCAAATCATTAGTAGTGGAATATAGATATGATCTTTTATAAAGCCCCACCAAAAAGAGCTCCGTCATCTCGATGATTACAACCAATCCAACAGTTGGAGATTTCAACGTTCAATCGCTCTCGCACAAAGAGATTACATTAGGGAAGAGCTCCAGTTGCAATTTTGCTTATGTCGCACTGCAAGCAAGAAAATAACAAAGCAGTACTCGTGCTTTTGTTTAATTAAAACTGCCTGAAACACTCTTTAATTATGATCTTGAACCATACAATGCTTACAGTTGATACTAAAAAATTTATAGCCAAGACATTCTTCTATAGATATACTGTATTTAAATATGCGTTAGAATTTTATTTAATAATGCATTTTTGTTCAATACAACATTAGCTATAATACTGTTTTTCACAAATTCTGAAGCATCAGAAAATACAACTGCCAATGATTATTCAGATTTTCATTTTGTTAAAAAAATTTTGAAAAATTAACATATACTGGCGCGAATTTAATTGTTGCTTTCGGATGCTTCTTTTAGCAATAACAAAATGCAGAAATTTTTACTGAGAAATAAAGCTTTTTATCAATTGTTAAATAAATCAACTATCACAGTATCTAAAATAATTTAAAGTTTGAATTAAGCATATATTCTTTGCAACCTCTTTCTGTTGTTAGGAATATTGTGAAACATTTATTGCTGATTATGTTTTGCCCTAATCAAATAATATTTTTATTTTATTTTCAAAGTTTAGTGTTTGATTTGAAACAAAATCATATCATTTTTCTTAGACTCTTAACAGATTTAATTTTTACAGAGATATTAATTCAGTCTTTCCTTTAGAGTAACACTTTAAGTTAAATATAGCTGTGTAAAAATTATACAAAATTTATCAAATCAAAATATAATTACAGAATAAAAGAATATAATTACAGAATATATGATATCTTTGGGCTTCCTATCAAGCAATTTCTGGTACTGAATTAGCCAGAAATCTTCAGCTTCATGAGCCCGCAGTAAATCCATTTCTTGCTAGAAAATAAAAAACAAAATTTTACTCATTAACACTAAAATTTAAAATATTGCTAATATTTTGTTCCAGCATTTATTCAAAAATTTCAATATATTATTAATACAAAAATTAGTAGTACAAATTTTTTTTTTTTAAAAAAAGGGAAGAATAAAAAAGAAAACAAGGAAACTAAAATGCGGATTATGATTCATTGTATAAAGTTTTTTAATTAAATACAATGCTCATCATTAAAGTTCTTACCTATTAAAAATATGATTAATGATATATAAATAATTTTATAATGTTAAGCATTTATTAATTTCATAATTATTATGAAGATGATTTTTCAAAAACTTTTTGTAAATTAATCAAAAAATATGTTGTTAATGTTTAGTTTTTTAATCAATGAAGAGTTTTAAAAATACATGTTGTATTTAATATTTTAGATAGTTCTTTGATAGTTTTGAAAATTCGCACAAATAAACAATTATAGTAATTCCAGTAAAATCTTTGAAAGTAAGCTTATTTTTTGCTCTGGAAGATGACTTTAATCTGATATAATACGTTGAATTTTATATCTGAGTAAACGTGTACAATAATACTAAACATGCTTATTTGTTAATTAAGCAAACTCTGAATTTTTTTATACTGTACAAGAAGACTAGAAAAAATGTTTTATACATGCCAAAGAACTCTAAATAAAGCATTCATGAAATCACTTAAAACACTATAAATTTTTCAAATTACCAGTCTTTTTTTCAATTCTTCTTCACGTTTCTTTTTGGCAGCTAACAGGTCACTTAATAAATAAGCTAATGCAGTTCTATGCTCTGCCAAAACATTCTAAATGAAAAAACGTTACATATAAATACATATAAAAATTCTCAGAATGTATATATGTAGTTTGTGATGGCAAAAATACAATATAAATGAAAAAAGGAGTTTAATACTTTTAGCACCTTTTAATGAAGAAATTTGTTGGAAAAATTTCTTTCAACTTAAAAAGATAAAAATATATAAAATAAGCAAGGCATAGAAAATAGTTTTAAGAAGGTAAATAGTATTTATATATATATAGTAATTTACATGTGATGAAATAACACAAAACAAAATTTTTAAAGAAACAAAATACATTAATTTTACTGAAATGCAATATTACTCATATAAACTAGTCATGTAAAAAATAAAAATTACAAAATGATACTCTACTAATGTCATTGTACTGAAAATTATTTCTCTGAAGAGATGAAAACTCAAGAGGGCACATCTAGTGAAAATAGGGGTTGACATAAAACATCTCAGCCATATGCAGTTAAGTTTTTGTCCACAATTCATCGAAATGTGTGTCGAGCATCATCATAATGGAAGACAATACCTAGAAAATTGGTTAGGTCTGGGCACTTTGCTTTGATTTTGTCTTTTAAAATTGCAATTTCGAATAGTATTTTTCCATATTTATTGTCTGATTTGGTGGCAAACATTTATAGCAGACAATTCCTTTACAGTCTCACAACACATAACATTACTTTTTTAAGATGCAGTCCCCTTCTCAGTTTCATTAAAGGAGGTTCTTTTTAGGAATCACTTGGTATCTTTATGGATTTTGGATTATCCCATGAGTAACATTACTGTATAGTATTCAGTTTTTATCTCTGGTAATGATCCACTTGCATAGAAATCACATGCCAAAACATGAGCAAATATATTCTGCTCTGTTAAAATATGGGAGACCCATATATCGTAACAGCTTACATTCTCAATCTTCTTCAAATGATCAAGTATTGTACTTTTTTTGGAGTATTTATTCTATCTGATAGTTCGTGAACTGCATGACTTGGATTTTCAGTGACAGTTTCTTTTAAAAGGCCCTTGTTTATAAGGGATGGTCATCCAGAGTGGGCATAACCTCTGAGGCTGAAATTTGCACATTTAAACTTCATAAACCACTTTCAAACCATGTCATCGGAAACAGTATTTTCTCCTATATAGCAAAAAATTTATGAGCTGTATGACTGGTATTTTTTTTTTTTTTTTTTTTTTCTTTTTAAAGTAAAAGAGAATAATATGTAAAACTGAAATTTTGGATTCTCTCACTGAACTGAAACAAAAATCATGCCACAACAAAGGCTTGAATTAAGCAATGTGAGCATAAAAAAAAGTATTAAAACATCTGCTTTAATCAAGATCACTTAATATCAGCAGTAACAAAATAATTAGAATAAATGCTTTTTGATTTGAAAAATTGTAGATTTTTATATGTCACTTGGCATACATTATTATTTTTTTAATTTTTTTCATTGGTCATCATGTTATTTAAAATACAATGGTACCTTGGTATACATCATTAACTGGTCCTAGACCCTTGGACTTATACCAAAGTGGATGTACGTCAAACAAACCTTTTCATTAAGAAATAAAGGGAAAAAATTTAAAAATATAAAATCAAATATAATTAATTTTATATTATGCCTAAAAGGGCATTTTTTTAACATTTTGTGTGCTACTTTTATTTATTAAATATCATGTTCTTCACACTTAAACCACATAAAATTTAATTCAACAGAAATATCACAAAATATTTACAAACAGTATACCTTACGAATTTCTGATACACAGTCTTGCATGCTGGAGATAATTTTTCCCCCCTTTACAGCATTGCCATTGCTTGCTTTGAAATCATTGAGTTTGTTAATCAAAAATTTGTTTTACAAAATTTAATATAGATAATACAACAAATTCAAAATTCTGACTTCTAAGTGCCCATGTTCGGTTGGAGGACTATGCTATTCAAAATTTGATGGTTCTAGGTAGCGTTGTTTTTTCACAATGCAAGAAACATTCATGCAGCTTCTTCATTATTTAGTTTCTTTAACTATAACACATGGTGATAAGATTCAGTGGCAATAGTTTGAAAAGTGAAACGACACAAAATGCCATTTTGAGACAAACAGCCCTTTGGGTCTAATGCCACTTTGGGCTAAAAATTAATCCATGCTTTTAAAAAAAATCACATTGTTATTATTATAGCACTGTTTAATATTAAAGTACAAATGCAGTGGGCAAAATATATACTTTATATAAATGAAACACTGTGTGTACATTTTTTTTTCCCCTGTTTGTTATCCAAATCATAACCAGTTTCTCAATATGCTCTTTAATGTCTATGATCTTTGCTTGGTAATCGATTTCACCCTCTTCGCAATGTTAACCAATTTGATAGCATCTCTGTAGACACAGGCATAGTGATACTTATAGGTAGTCATAGTATTGTCTCAAAAAAGGGTAGTGTTATGCACGCAGGCATGACTCACTCAAGGCATATCCCACACAAAACTTGACTAAACTCAAGGCATATCCCACACAAAACTTGACACATTCAAACAGGATACATCCCAAGCTGGACTTATTTCAAAGCAGATCAACACCGTGATACTACTGTACTTCCCTTTTTGATTTTCTTTACCTACATAACAATCATCCTAATGGGAAATTATGAAAACAAAGACTAAAATAAATAATTGCGCAAATCTAGTAAATAAATACTATTTAGACACAGACTTTTCATAAGCAGGTCTAAAGAGTCATACCACTAAGAAAGTTAAGAATAAAGGTATTTAGAAGTTGCTCATTAAAGAATACTTTTTATCACCTTTTGTATATTGTTATTGATAACTGACAATGCTATACTGTTTAAAGCTATACAAAAGACTTTTAATAATCTTGGTTCACTATCCATTTAAAATTATGTTTAGCAATACATTACAACAAGCATAACTGCATTAGTTTAAAATTCCAAATCTGTCCACTAACTGCTTTCAATACACAAAAACATTACACATAAAATGTGTTACTTTCAATAAATAAAAACATTTTACAAAATAATACAGCAGCTAATTTAATGCTTTAATTCTATAATGCATAAATAAATAAATAAAAAGACAAAGTAATGTTTAACACTTTAAACAGAATTATTAAAATTCTTTAATTTTCCTAAATTATGTTCATTAATAAAACTTACAACTTCAGAATTTAATTTAAAATCCTTCTTTTTCACTTCAGCCATGGTCAAATTAGCAAGCTCTTTTTCAATCAAATATATCTGAGGAGAAAATTTAACATAAATTGAAATTAGTTTTACAGCTGAAATTACATAGCAAGAATGTAAGATAACAAAAGAACCTTTCTCATTCACTAAACCAAGTTATATTTTTGATATAAAAGGATGCTTTTATCAAAATTAGCAATGATAATGTTGTCAGCTTCGTCAACATAGAATTTTGAATAGACTTATTAACATATTCAGCATAAATAAAAAATAATATTCTTTAAAATATGTACATTTTTGCAGCGTATCATTGTAAGACTTACAATTGATAAAATTTTAAAAAGCACAATAACTTTTACCCACATACTTACTCAGAAATTCTTAATAATGTGGGTTATTACTCAGCAGTCAGTAACCACATTTTGTTGGGCCATGAATTTATTAATATATACAGACATGCATGTTTCTCTCTCTATACATACAGTGGTGGCCAAAATTGTGGACACTTTTAGAAATTTTTATGTTTTTGAACTTTGTATGCTTATAGAAATAGTTATGTTTCGCAAAATGCAAACTTCTGTTTCTTATACACTGCAATTACAAGTAGGAATTTTTGTAAAAATTTTTAATATTTAGTCAAGAAGCAATGACATCAAATAAAAGAGTAGATTGGACACCTAGAAAGAGATGTAATATTATTGTGTTATGAGAAAGTGGTTCTTCCTATGCTGAAATTGCAAGACAGGTGGGTGGTTCAGTGACTACATCTGGAGTCCGAAAGTTTTGTTTACGATGCACATTTTTCGGCCAAGGAAAAGGCTAAAAAAGGTGCATCACATCTATTGATGACAGAAGAATAAAAAGACTATGTCTCCAAGATAGAAAAATGTCATCAGCAGCCATCAAAAGTGATCTGAATGATGCTGGTGTTTCTGTCAGTTCAAGAACAATCAGGAGAAGATTAACAGATGTTGGACTGAGAGGTAGAATTCCACAAAAAAGCCTTATCTTAATTTTCAGCAACTAAAAAAAAAAAAAAAAAAAAAAAAAAAAAAGACTACTGTGGGCAAAGGAACACATTAATTGGACAGATAATCAGTGGTCACAAATTATATGATGAAATCACAAATTATATGATGTCACAAATTATATGATGAAACTAAGATATCATTATTCGGTAGTGATGGGCAAAAATATGTAAGAGGTAGAATAGGAGAAGAGATACATCCTGACTGCATTCAAGCAACTGTGAAGAACCCAGTTAGTGTTATGATTTGGTCATGCATGTCAGCAGATGGTATTGGTCGCCTTCATGTCATCGATGGGACACTGAATGCCAGAAAATACATTGACACTATTCTAGAACCAAAACTTCTACCTTCCATCAGAGATCTCTTTCCCAACAATGCTTCATTTATTTTTCAGCAGGATTCTGCTCCTTGCCACACAGCCAAAATATCGATAGAGTGGTTTCGTACAAAGAGCATTAAATTATTGTCATGGCCAGGAAACAGTTCTGACCTCAATCCTATCGAAAATTTGTGGCACCGTTTGAAAACTCTTGTCCGAATGAGGCGCCCATCAAATAAAAGGGAACTAATTGAGGCTATAATTGTTTCCTGGCGTCATGTAATAACCAAAGAAGAGCTTAAAACTCATGTCAGCTCAATGAAACATCGATGTGAATCTGTAATCAAAAATAAAGGGTACCCTACTAAGTACTGATAAGTCACTGCAATCATCGCTATCTAATGTATATCGATAACTATTATCATTTAACTTTTTTTGTATTGCAAATAATTGAATTTTACGTTTTGTATTGAATTCAGTAATAAATTCTCTTTAAAATGATATATACAAGTTTGCATTTTGTGAAACGTAATGTTTTCTATAAGCATACAAAGTTCAAAAACATAAAAATTTCCCAAAGTGTCCACAATTTTGGCCACCACTAGCACATGTACATAAGGTACATATCTATCACATGTACATAAGGCACATATCTATCACATGTACATAAGGTGCTTCCGATTGCAATAAAAAAAGGGAGGCTCACAACTAAATGCCATAGCAATGCCACATACAAAATCTCTTAACATTCTTCAGTTATGTGAGATACATAGATATACATGCATGAACAGATGTCACAAAAAAAAAAAAAAAAAAAAATCCATTTTGAAAAAAAAAAAAAAAAAAAATCCTTTATTCTGTCTGTACCTACAGATGGCAGGAAAAATAGTATCCAAATGAAATCTGCAAACTCTCAAAATGGATAAAACCATTGAAATATGATACTCAAAATTTTTGTGATTACAATTTTTTTAATTTCATATAAAGAAATAAAAATGTACTGTATTAAAGCCTAAAATGTACAGTTGACTCTCATAACATTTTTAACATGAGGCAAATCCAGAAAATAAGTTTCCCACATTGATTAAGATGCCAGGTCATGCACTGCAAAAAGGAAATGCAATTGTTTCTCAAACAATTTAAGATGTGGCTAACATATGCAACATCTGCCACTTCCACATCACCCATAGTATCACAGTTAGTAACCCTCTTTTTTTATCCACTAAGTACAAGGTCAGATATATGATACAGTTTCTGAATGGACAGAAAATAGCACCAACCAAAAATCATCATCAGCTGTGTTAAGTCTAGGGGCTTGAAATCACCTGTATCACCTTATCAGCATGCAGGTGATGGGCAGTTGGTGTCAAGCAGTTTTCCAAAGGTTGTCAAGACATTCATAAGAAGCATACTGGGCAGCCATCCATCACAAAAGATGACATTATACCAGGTGCAGCAACCCATTTTGGAAAATTATCACTTCATAATTATAGCCATTAACACAGATATCTTCTTTCCTTGCTAAATGAAATTGTGTTCCAGATTAGTGTCGAACAGACTGATAACGGAATGCAAAATGCATGGAATCAAACTGAATTTTCTGCAGCAGTATATGTTTTGTTCATCCATGATAATGTTTGCTCAAATATGGCTCAATACACAATACAGCTTCTGCCAGAGTTCCACTGGGAGGTTTTTGACCATCTATTCTACAGTCTTGATCTTTCTCCCTGAATTTTTTTTTTTTTTTTTTTAACATCTTGAAATTTTTGTCTAGTCAGCATTTTAAAAGTCATGAAGAGGTGCAATTGGCTTAACACATTGGTTCTCATCCAGACAGCAGAAATTTAAAACAGAGGAAAACAAAAGTTGACTACATAAATGACAACTATCCATTTGTTGGAAATGTTGAAAAACTAACTGCATTTCTTCCAATCAATATTTACATGTAAACATATTTTTGTTCTGTATACAACTCTACGAAAACTTAGTAATGAATAAAAATACAATATTTTACTGCTGGTCTACTTAGCGAAGTGCAATTTTACTCGCTCAGATGAAATTTGGGTCTTTCAACGCTCGATCCTGAATATTACTTGAAAGTACATTCAGTAGAAATGGAAGCTTGAATTAGTAAAAGAAAAGCATGACCTTTTGTCACAGTATATGAGAATCTGTAAGGCAGAAAAGGCCTGCAAGCTCTTCTGATGAGAGGATCTGATTACACAGGCATTATGTGACCATCTCGGACGAGCAGTGAAGTATCCTGCTAGGAGCTTAATGACTAGCTCCCATCGGATTAAGCGGAGTATCGGGCAGTGAGGACATTATGCATAGTAGGTGATGTGGAAGCAGGTAAGGTCAAAAGCAGCTAATCAGAAGATTACACCCAAAATCAAGTCTCTGCAGCATATAAATGCACTCAAAAATAAAGAAAACACAAAATTTGCAACTGATTAAATGAAAATAAAGTCTTATGTACTATATATACCAGGGTTGGCCAAACTTCATGTCAGTAAGAGTCGCACATTTGAATTCAGGACTGATTGAGAGCTGCATCTAGATTTTCTAAAAGCCACAAGTTCATATTTACATTATTATAGAAGTAGTGAAGGAGGTTTTTAACAGAAAGAAATCCCTGATAACTTTGTAAAAGGAGTCTAAACTAATTAATCACTTCTTTTTGGGCACTGAATAGTTTTAGTTTACCATATTTCATACATATATTTTATATGCACGAGCTGCACAAATTGACTGTGAGAGCCATATCAGGCTCGCGAGCCGCACTTTGGCCACCCCTGATATGTACAAAATGTACAGACGCATCTGCTGTAGTGGAAAAGTCCTTAGGTTGCTTGAATGATTAAGCAACAAAGTTCTTATCTCCTAGAAGTTGAGTGGCGAATGGATGTAGCAACTTAATCATTTTCCAGTGAGAAAATTAATGTAAACTAATACTCTCAAAAACAATGATACCATTAATTCATCATATTTAAAATTTTTACGACACAAAATATGCTTTTAATTTTACATTAAGTTGCATGTTCATTATTTCTTTAGAGAAGTTCACTAAAAATACAGTTAATATTTGAATATACATTCAAATTCGGACAAGTAAGAAAATCTAATTTGTTATTAGAATGACAAAGCCTTTTCACTACTTATTTAATATTAGAAGAATAATCAAACATTTTACTTGATGAATAATTTCCTGATGCTGTAAATCTTTTTGAAGTTGAAGTGCTTTAAATGCTTCCTTCTGATACTGCTCCTGAAATTAAAATAAGCATATAATCCAATGCTAGATATTGAAAGAGTGTTGCCAGAAATTTTTCAACTCAAGGAGAAGAATTGAAAAGCCACAAAAAGAAGCACATGACATCGGAGATCATGTGATTCTGGGTGATGTCATGTTCACATGATGTCAACACAAATTCATTCTCATTTGTACCGTAAGCTATGAACTGTAATTCGATTCTTACTTGGTTTAATTGGATATCTTACTTTTGAAGAAAATTTTAAAATGCTACTACTAATTAGCCACTGTTTAAACATTCATTTTTTTCTTTTAATTAATTCTGTTTTTAATTTAGGTTTTATTTAAAAACTAGCAGCTACGCTGCCAGCCTCCGTCTGGCTTTTAAATGCACCGGAAAAATGCCTGAAGGGAACACCAAACGTTAAATTTAAGAACTGCGCAGAATTTTACTCTGCAGAACTTCACCCCCCCCAAAAAGCACCCCACAAATTTTTAAAAAAATGTATTGAATATAACAAAATTACAATGAAATAAACAATATCATTTAATACAAATATTAATTAGCCTAATAAATAAATTAACCAACTTCCCGTTGCCTTCTCTCAAACAAACGTCCAGTATCCAAGAGAAACATTAAATTTGAAAACGGCACAGAATTATAGCCCTCATTTTTCCAAGTGGCAACAGTGCTGATTTTCAACAGTCAGCAGTCCAGTATACAATTGAATGATAAACTGTTGCCAAAACCAAATTTTTAAAAGAATGAATGATGCGATAAAATCAAAAAGATAAAATTTTAAAAAATCTAATTCGAATTTTGAAAAAAATCGCTTTGCGGTGCACTGGCTTTTTTCTAGATGCACCTATGTACCAAATTTCGTAGCCGTGTATTAGCTTATGCGCAGCATGAACAAAAGACACATACAGACATCCAGACTCTTTTTTTTTTATTATACGTAGAGATTAATTTGCTCATATACATTCTTAAATACTCCCTCAGTTATGCATTGTTAGTGCTTTTATACCGATATTTTTGAATTGGCAGTTCACTTTTCTAACTCATTAATTTTTGCTTTATTTTAACTGTTAATACTTTTCAATGAGTTTTTCATTATGTTTGGTTGATTTATTTAATTTCATCACATCCTGATTACTAATAAAATTCCCACTCTGTCATTTTAAAATTTCTGTTGTGATATAGAAAATGATTTTGCTTTGACTTTTAAGTCACATTGATTGTTTAGTAACTAGTAATATTATAATCAGCAGAATTAATTTCATTTCCTTCTCTGAGTCTCCAATATTAAAGATACAAATCACTTTATTATCATCATTGAATTGAGGGTCAAACTGAATTAAAAATAAAATTTATAAATAAATAAAACCATCAATGTTATTATGAAAGTGCATAACTCTGTTTTACACTCTTTCTCAATATTTTCCCTTTTATTACGATTATTTTCATGGAATTTGCCTATCTAGCAATAATACAATAGAGTCTTTGCTTCATGAATCCAAACAGAAATTGCCCTTTACATAAAAGGCAAACAACTCGAGTACACAGTATTTTTTTTATATTTTTAGTATTTACATTTGAAACTAAATATATCATCTTTATATATACATATAAAATCTCCCCCACCTAGCAGAACATTTTAGAATGGAAAAGAGAAAAATTACCAACATATATAAGTAAATAAATAAAATTTGTACTTTGCATGCTTAATATTGAATTTTGTTTACAAACTTTCAACAAGGAAAAAGTGTAAAGAATGATGTCTTGGAATTTTATAGATACAATGAGATAGTTATACCAATTACAACAGTCATTCATATCTTAACTTTTAAAGTTTTAATTCTGCTTTGCTTACCAAAAGTATCAGTTCTAAAAGTATTTCATTTTAAAATTAATCTTATTTGAAATAACATAGTGAACATTTAGAATAAAGATAGTGAAATTCCTGTGGAGGCAGTTGATTTAAAGAGTTAAAGTAAATTTATGTTGTTATAAATACAGGTCATTTTGAGAAGTTGTTGTAATCATGTTCCACTGTGCTGTGAAAATACCTAATCATCTAGTGTCATTAAGATTTTTTTTTCACATCAAATAATTTCTTTTTGTTTGATCCGTACAATAAATTATAATAAAATATTTTTCATTTTAAAATAAATTGCCTAATATCTGAACTAAAATAAAATATATCACATATTATCATAACATTTTTGATTAATTTATTATTGCTTAGAAAGGGAAAAATAATATATATATATAAAAAAAAGGTGTAATTTTTATTTTACTTTTATTTAAAAGAAAATTAATAGCTTTTCATCCTTTTGGTCATTTTCTTGGCCTGTTATCCTAATTTTCTTTCTGTAAATATCTGAATTATATGAATGCACAGGTGGTAATGGCACATGTAAACACAGCTGATTTCTTTTCTTCCAATGATTCAAAGTACAGAATCTAGGAGTTTCAAATACATTCTCTTTCAGTGTTCAGTTTTCTTGTAAATGTGCATTGTTTACTGGCAAACTTTCAAGAATAAACAAAGCAATCAGCTTAACACCTGAAACCACCAGTGACTGGGGGCTGGAAACTATGATCTCGGGATTGCCAGATGCAACTTCTCTTTAAGCATAAATAAATTTTTATTTATTTATTTATTATAAAGTAATTTTAGTAGATACATTATTTTAACATATAAGCATTTTATGGTCTATTAAAAGTTCTTAAAGCAAGCCATAAAAAGTGGCAAAAGGAAATGACGCATTAGCAAAAATTTTGCAAAATCGCATTCACATAAATTTTAAGCACAGGTTCATCAAAAGTAGCACATTTGTGAAAAATCGCATGATCTGGCAACACTTTACAGAAAATAGGACGACTTATATGATTATAATGATTATAAATAAAATTTACCTCTTCTAACAATTCATTGATCAAAATTTGTTGATCCATCTCCCTCTCTTGAAACAGATTGTGAAGCTTCGAATAACTTTCATTTTCACTAATAAGACAAAAAAAAAAAAAAAAAAAAAAGGTGGAGCAATTAGTAAAAGAAATTTTACACAAGCCAACAAGCAAACATTTATTTGGATAACAAATTTTGAATGCTAACAATGCATTCAATATTTCTCAGGTCATCAAAAAAATCAAAACAGGTAAACAGCACTGACTGGTAGCTTGGGCTCTAAAAAATCCACACGTTTCAAAAATGGTATTAATCACATAGTTTTTAGATAGAAAAAAAGGTACACATAATAATGATGATCAATTTATAATTTCAGTGTTCTGCTTTTAATAGTACTTCAGAATCCATCTACAAAAAGGAATGAATGTTCATTTGGATTGATTTATGCAAAATTATTTTTCTACTACAGAATGATTAAATAAAAAAATTTCTAAAACATAGAACCCATTTGCATTATACATGGAATACACCACCAAATAAAATTACACAAAAAAGAAATAAATCTGTTGAAATCAACACAAAGAATAAATAAAATGCAATTCAACTCAATGACAGAACACCTTAAATATTATGTGACATACTCATTCTGAAGCTGTTCCACAACACTAAATTTTCTTGCTTCATGTTTTCGCTGGTTTTCTTCACACTGAAGCATTTCTGTCATAGCCTCTGCATTGAAAAAATAAAATATGGCAATAATAAACAAAATATAAAAATAGTTAATGCAGACATTTTTATGAAATAATAATTACTGTATATTATACATACCTAAAATTTCTTTTTTCCTTAGCTGTTCTACTTCCTCTTGCTTAATGCAGAACAATTCATTTTCTAATCTATAAATTTAAATTACACTTTTATATCAATATCAGGGGCAAAAATTACATAAGACTTGAATTTAATGCATATATCCAGAAAACATACTGATTAGCTTCTAAGGTAAAAAATTAACTGGATTTAAATGATTAACAGTAAACATAATTTATGCTTTTTTACATTAATAAATTCTATCACAAAAGAAAATTTAGACCTCTAGCTTAAAATTTAGTTTAATCAGAAATATGAAATAATTTGTGATTTTGTTGTTAAAAATAATTACTAATGGCAATCTTTACAATGCAGTCTTAATAGTAAATTATTTATAGGGGGTAATGCACCTTTAGATTGGTATAAATTTTGAATAAAACTTTATCAGTTTTGAGGGCAATTAGATGCAAGTTCTTCTTCAGAAGGGAAAAATAAATATCGTAATTTCCGGAAGAAAGCCCACATCAGCGTAAACGCCGCACTCGAGAAAAATGGCGGGGAAAAAATTAAAATTACACAGAAACGCTGTAATAGATTAAATTGCACATGACATCGTCGTGGACCATATAGATGCAAAATCTCAATCTATATCCTGATACATGACATATCAGTTAAGAAAAATGCATGAAATGAAACCATAACTCAAAAATAAATTAAAGGTAAGAAATGTTGAAAATATATTTACGTTCACGAATATACTTATATTTACCCACTAAAGAAGTCCATATTTGTAATACTCAGACTATATTATAAAAAATGTTGCAACAACAAAATATTAAATTTCGATGACAAAAGGAAATTTTAAATTTTACTTACAAAAGGAATTACAGCAAACTATACATCATATGAAGCCATCGAAATCTGATTCTTCACTATCTGAATTAAAAAGATTTAGTAAATCCTGATCTACATCCAAGTCTTCCAGATCGTCACATTCATCCTCTTGGTTTACAGTCTCTTTACCTAAGGATATAATTTCAGCTTCTTTGAGCCCTGCTATTATTGACGATATTTTTACCGATTTCCACACACTTCCTGCCCACTTTGCAACTTCTTCATAAGATGCTCTATGAATTTTACTGCTTTTGGTATACGTATGCAATCCTTCACTCATCCAACACTCCCACCGCTTTCGGACTTCAGCTTTGAAGGATTTATTACCTGACAAATCTAATGGTTGTAAGATTTTTGTCAAACCACCAGGAATTATTGCTACGGTGGTAGACAGTTTTTGACATCTGGTTTTCATTGATTCAAGTAAATGAGCACGCATGGAATCCATTATCAATAACCCTTTTGGTTGGAAAAAAGATCTCTTACGACACTGTCAAACCTTTTGTAGCCACTCATGCATAATTGTTTTGCACATCCAGCCATTCTTGTTTGCACAAATAATTATGTCATTAGGAAAATCTCCCTTTGGAATAGTTTTTCGTTTAAAACTGATCATCGACTTTAGCTTGTCACTGTTTGTGGCACAAGCTAACACGCATGTAAATGACATTTTTTCATGCCCCGTCGTAAGCACAGATACAGTTTTTGCACCAGTTTCATCAACAGTTCTGTTTTTAGGAGAGTTTAAAGCTAACAGCGTCTCATCCATATTTATTATCTGTGACTGAAGAAGTTTCTTTTTTGTCAATAATATCTGTCACATATTTTAGAAAAGATGCCTTTTTATCCTGCCAGTCCATTGGTAATTGTTGCCCGACTGTTGTTCTAGTATACACAGAAATATTTTTTCTATTTATAAATCTGCTACACCAGGAGGCCCTCCTTTGAAATCATTTATGTTCACTTGTTTGACTATAAATTTTGCTTGTAAGCGAATTTTTACTGTCGAAATTGCCATTCCCTTTCCTTGTTGCTTCTTTATCCAGTTTGCAAGGTTGTCCTCTAGATTCGGTCACCTTACAGTACCACTTCTTTTGGCTCGTTTCTGCTGTGGCATATTTTTAAGTTCTTTTTTTTTTTTTCAGCTCTCCAACATCGAATACATCTCGTCCACTTCAAACTCTTGAGCTGCTGCTCTATTTCCAATTTGTTCAGCACGTGAAATTACATTAAGCTTAAAACCAGCAGTATAGCTTCTGTGCCATTTAGGTGGCATTTTCAAAAATTTTCCCCTCCCTTCTTACTTAAAAACTATAAAACAAGTACTTGTACCCAAACTGATGGGATCAGTATCTGGCAGAATGCCAAGAAAAATCGATTCATGAAATACGTCAGAGTTTGTTATTGCGAGGCAGGTGAAGTCGCGTCCGCCTTTGAAAAAAATTGCAGAAAAGGCAAGGCTTAGGGTAAATAAGGCATGTAGGTCCATTCAAGGGAAACAAAATAACGTTCGCAAAAAGCAACTGAGTGGTCTTTTGTGTGGGAACAGCACCAGTCTATGTACAATGACAAGGCCATCCAAACTATGTACAATGACAAAGTTATTCAAACTATGTACAATGACCATCATAGGAAATATTTTATTTTTAGTGCACCTAAATGCTGCACCCGTTGAAGATTTAAGTTTTAAGTACGTAAATGCCGCGGGGTTTCTTCCGGAAATTACGGTATTTTTGCTTAAGAAAGTATATTTTTTCCTTAAGAAAAGGAATCTATGTCAGACTGGACTGAAAATCAACACTTTTATTCAAAATCTATGCCAATCTGAGATTGCTTTTCACCTAATTTTAAATTTTACATTGGCCTCTTTCTTTTCCAGCTAGTAGCTCACATTTTAAATTTTAAAAGAAATCCCTTTATATTATAGAGTCTATGCCTTTTTGGAAGCATAAATTGTAGACCCTACATAGAAGATGAAGTAACGAATTCTCGCTATGTCTTTGAAGAACAGATACAGAAGAAGGCTTAAATAACTTTTTATTTGAAGTAAGAAAAAACCATATGCATGAACTCGGTGCTCACAATTCACCACCACTTGTGGTTAAATTGAACAGAAAATAAAAATGTTAAATCACGATAAATTAGGAATGCAGAATGACTGGCTCCTTAGTTATCTAAACCACTAAATCGGGTGCACACAGCAAAGCCGAGCCTAGAATATAAATATAATCTGAAGGGTGTTTAACACCACCTAAGGAGCTAATTTCAAACACGCAGCATAAACTCGGAACTATCTCCATTACTACTACTCATGAATTCTTGAAACTGCAGCTTAAATAATGGTTCTGAACACACTTAGATTTTGCATACTATGTCATCAAAATTTACATTCTGGCAGGAAACTGAAATTAGGAGGGAAAGGAAAGTCAAACTAAGAATAATTGATTTCTTTGTTCGACTTTGTTGTTTACTTCAAAACTAATAAGAATAATTGGTTAGAATAAAATAAAGGTTTTACAACATAAAATTTATAAAATTAGAATACATATATTCAAATGTAAAAATTTAGATTATGTGAAAAAGCAGTCTTCAAACATCTTTCCTGTTCTCCCCAAGAGTAAACAAATTTTGCTCATAAAGAAGAGAAATCTATATCAGATGATATCCAAATCAAACAAAATCTGCACTAATCCGAGATGCCATTTTTTCTTATCTTTAATAACAATTTATAACAGTATGGCAGAGAAATTATGTAAGTTTATTTTATTTTATTCAATAGCAAAATACCTTAATAATCGATTTTACCAAATGCACTGATAAAAATACCGTATTTATGCGAATCTAATGCGCCATCGAATCTAATGCGCATCCCCATTTTAAAACTTTAAATAATAAAAAAATTGTTTGTCGGCGAATGTAATGCACATCAATGATATGAGGAATTTATTGAATCTTATTTTATACAACAATGGATTTGTATATAAACTGTCAATTAATGGTATGATAATTTTATTTAAATTTAGATACCATATTTTATACAACAATGGATTTATACATAAAGTAGCAGAACATAGAATTAACCTATTAGTGGGCTATTGTCACGTGAAACAATCATTGTTAATTAGCACTACCGTATATACGGTACCTATCGTAAAATATGAACATGAAATAAATCATAACATTTCTATCTAGCTAACAGTTTCTACAATCAGTGATTAATAGTAAACGTCTTTATTCACTAATGTTTTCATCACTGGAATCCTCGCAGCTCTCTTCGTCAGAAGCAGATTCATTTCTTCTTTCCTCATCATCGTCATCGTCATCCTCGGCGTTCCAGAGCACGTCATCGTCACTGCCATTCAATGCATTTGAAATGCAGCATTTCTTGAAAGATTTCACAATCATTGGTGCTTCGATGCTTTTCCAGGCAGCAGAAACCCAGTGTGCAACAATGTGCGGTGCAGCACGCTTAATTTTTCCTGTCGGGGTCAATACACGGTTTGGCTCACAAAACCATTTTTCGTACTCCGCCTGAACGTATCCCTTAAAAGGTTTATTTATACTAACGTCTAGGGGTTGTAACACAGACGTCATCCCTCCAGGAATGATCACAAGATCACTGACAAAGCATTGATGGTGGATTAGAGAGCCCACCGGGACGGCGTTTCCATACATTTCGGAGCCAATCAAACATTAATGATTCCATCATCCACCCCTTCTCTTGGTTTTGAATCGGGACATCATCTGGGAACAGCTTTTCATTCTTAGGGGTTTTAGGGCATGTTTTCCGTTTGAAGATTAAGAAAGGGGGAAGTTTGCACCCGTCTGCTGTTATTGCCAGCATCACTGTTACGCGTTGTTTTTCACATCCCGAAGTTTTGATGATAACTTCCTTAGTCCCCTTCTCCGTAATGCTGTAGTTACGAGGCATATCAAAACAAATTGCCATCTCGTCAGCGTTGCCAATTTGCCCCATTGAAAAATTCTTTTCCTTCCGAAGTGTGATGACATACCGCTGAAATGTTAGTAGTTTTCCCTCAAAATCTGCAGGAAGCTTTTGGCATATCGTTGTACGGCGTCTTAGAGATAAGCCCATCCGCTTCATAAACCGATCCACCCATCCACGGCTAGCCTTAAACTCTTGTTTCGGTATTCTCAAGAACTTCAGCCTCCTCTTTTTTGCTTTATTTCTTATGGTGTCACTAGTCACAGGTTGTCCATTCTTCCTCCTTTCACGTACAAATTCCAAAACTTTTCTTCAATTTTAGGTGTCTTCCTTTGCGAGGGCCAGTGAATTTCTTTCTACTAGCTTTAGTTGCAAATAGTGCCAATTTCTGTTGCCGCCACAAGCGAACATTGCTCTCAGCTACGTTGAACTCTTTCCCTGCCTTTCTATTGCCATTTTTTTTCAGCATAAAGAATTACTTTACGTTTGAAAGTAGCGTCATATGACATTCTTCTCTGTTTGCCCTCCATTTCGTGACTACGTACTCTGCAGTTTGTATCCTCTATGCAATAATGTGTCAACGATAAATGTAACGGTAAATATAGTCGAGAAATTTGGTTGACGTCATCGGCGAACTTTGCACTCGAATCTAATGCGCCATCAAATCTAATGCGCACCCCAATTTTGAATACTACATTTGGCCAAAAACGATGCGCATTAGATTCGCGTAAATACGGTATATCAAGATTATTTAGCGCATCATATTTTACTATTGTTAAAAATATCATTACATTAAAAATTTATTTTATTTATATTTTTTTCCATTTTAATGGCAACATTATCTCTGCTCTTCCAATGACCTTTGCAATTATCTATTAAAAAGATAGAGGAGTTATTTTTATCACTTACCCATGTCCAAATGAATCTTTAACTGCCTGGATAAATATCCCATTAGTAGTAACTTTAAGGGTCTAGAGATGTTCCCACCCCCTCTTTTGCTGAACTAATATTAAAAACCCTGCACACTTCAATTTCATTGCAAAATTTAACTTTGCACTAAATTCATATATAAATTATTCTCTTAATTCTCTCCCTACAAATATATATATATATATATATATATATATATATATATATTTTAAAAATACAATATTATTAATCTCATTTGTATAAAACAAATTAAAATTTTAAATTATACAAATTAAATTGCAAACAAAATAAATTTATTAATTACTGCTGAAAACTAATTTGCAAAGTCAGAAAACATAAGTAAATAAAGTGCAAACATGTAAATACTAGAAAAACATAATACAATCCCAAAATTTTTATCTTAAGAACCTCTAAAATTTTAAAAATAAATTTTAATTTGCATAAAATGATTAATTGTTGAGCAGGCAGGAGACAGATCTTTTCAGGGAAAGTTGCCCCAAACCTAACTCTTCAATTACCCAATTCATGTTTTGTCATCTTTTTAGGTATATGTAAAGAAATACACAAAACCAAAAGTAGCGATATGTTAAAAAGAAATTTAATATTTAAAGAATTTTCGAGAAATTTAGAAACAATCCTTGAAGAATTTAAAACTCTGAATTTAGATTAACCTATTTTTCCAGAAAATTATCGTTAACGAAAAAAAAACTCTACGAAATATTAATTTATAAATATGTACTATAACATCACGTTGGAAAAAATGGAACACCTTAAAAAAACATGTTTCTTTGCTTAATATGGTGTAGGAAACCCGTTGGCATCCAAAACAGCTTGCAGTCTTCTCGGAATGGATAAATACAGTTCCTGTATGTTTGCCAAGGGAATATTATACCATTCTTCCTGCAAAACGGTGGCAAGTTCAGATAACGATGTTGGCGGTGGATAACGAGAACGCACTTTCCGTTCCAATGTAGACCACAAAGGTTCGATAATATTCAGGTCTGGTGACTGTGGTGGCCAGGGGAGATGGGACAACTCATCCTCGTGCTCAGAAAACCAGTCCTGGACAATGTGAGCTGTGTGAACAGGGGCTTTGTCGTCTTGGAAGACACCATCACCATCGGGGAACAAAGTTTGTACCATGGGATGAACTTGATCGGCCAAAATGTTCACATAAGTCTTGGCAGTCATGTGCCCTGACACAGTTATCATGGGGCTAGCAGAGAACCACGATATGGCTGCCCAAACCATAACAGAACCCCCGCCATGTTTCACTCTTGGCAACAAGCAGTCTGTATTATAGGCTTGAGATGGCGTTCTCCAGACGTAAACTCGGCCAGAAGTGGGAAACAATGTGAAAGAAGACTCGTCAGACCATATTACTTACTCGCTTCCACTGCTCTATAGTCCAGGCTTTATGACTTAAACACCACCTTTTCCTGTTACGGGCATTAGCATCACTGATGAGTGGCTTCTCAATTGCAGCACGGCCAGCAATTCCCTGTTTATGAAGCTCCCTTCTAATTGTTTTGGTACTCACAGGGTTCGGTAACACAACATTCATTTCAGCAGTAACTTTTGCAGCTGTGGTCTTCTTATTTTTCGTCACAATTGCCCTTAATGATCGTCTGTCACGATCACTCAGGACACACTTTCGTCCGCGCTGTGATTTAGCAGATGATGTTTTTTCCGCTTTTCAAATATGCGGAATAAATCTTCGATACAGTACCTCTTGAAACACTAAACACCTCGGCTACCTTGCTTACGGAAGCACCTACCATACGTGCTCCAACAATTTGCCCACGTTCGAAGTCTGTTAACTCTGACATAATGCAATGACAACCTCACATAACAGTACTCCGACAACAACTGAACTGTTTAGCACATTTACGAAGTTGTATAGGTGGCGTCAGTAGTCAAAAACGCCAGCGCCACCTACATATTTCATTAAAATCAATCTTTCTTTTCAAACATGCATTTCACAAGGTGTTTCCATATTTTTGTCCATCCACTGTATATAGGTGTGTAAAATAAACAACTAAGGACAATTTTTTTATCCCAAAGGGCGTTTTTACTTTGTAGTACTTATTTAATTATTATCACACTTAACAAAATCAATTCAACAGCAACACCACAAAATATTTAAAAAGAGCATATCTTTAAAATTTCAGATACACACTCTCATGCTATGGAGATAAAAATAACCTTTCCCCCTGTACAGTTTTGCCATAGCTCGCTTTGAAATCGTTCAGTTTCCTAATCAAAAATTCATTAAAGTGTTACAAAATATGAAATAGATAATAAAACACATTCCACATTTGAGCTGCCAGATACCTATAAGGGCTCTAATATTTGGTGGCAACAATTTGAAAAGTGAAATATCATTTTATAGTGAGTGATGCAAAATGATGAAACAAAATTAACAACCCTTCTAGATTTTATATTAAAGTGCAAAAATGTAACTCCTAAAAGAGGGGGAGGAAAAAGAAAGAAAAGAAAATTGATCAAATTAAGATTAATCAAATTGTGAAAATATGTAATTATTTCTTTTTTCTTATCATCTATTTTAGAATTTTGTAATAATTTCTCTAAAATATTTAATATACTCATAAAAAGGACTACACTTTATCCTCTAAATTTTTTTTTCATATTTTTATGATTAATCTTAATATTGCATGACTGTTAAAGGAAATAACTGGAATATTTACATTATATTCATAAGTAAAGAATTGTCACTTAAATCTGTGCAAATTATTAAGTAAATGGAAAAAGAGTAGTTTATGATTATGCCAAATACAGATTACTAAATAGTCATATGACTTACTTAATTGGTACTTAAAAATAAAATTCTTATCTCAAAGGAAGAAGCACACTCGTTATCGCTGAGCATTATACATAGAAAACTTCTGCTAAAAGTATGAATAATAAAGCATAACACATCATACACACAAAATTATAAAATAAAGGTTAAATACCTGTCTTTTTCTAAAACTTCTAACATTCTGGATAAGCTTTTTGTTCGATCATTTAGGCTCATTAACTGTTCAATCAACTTTGCAGAATGATCTTCAACTGAAATTAAAGTAAAATCTTTAAACTGCTAAAAAACTAAATAATTCACATGCAAAATTGATGAATTTTTTATATACATTTTAGTAAATATCACTGATAGCATTAGACCTATGCAATTATTGCAAAGGTGATTAAGAATAGATGATTAACTATTATAATGTTTCAAAAAAGATACTTTCTTTTTAAAGCCAATGCATTATCACTGCCTTGTTGGCATATTTTTATTTATTTCTTTTCTCATGCCTTTGACTTATTACTAGGTGAAACTCAATGACTAAGTGTAGTTGCATGGAAACATTCTCAAGTTTCACATCAAAGTCCTCTAAAAAACCATTGTGGGGAAGAACACAGCCTATCTTGTATTTTTCTTTTGTGAATAAGCTTTCATTAATTTGTTGTTATTATGACTCATTTGAAGAAAATTTTTGTTTTCAAAAATCAATATAGCATCATAAATATATAAACTGCTCAACAGTACACAAAAGAAATGTGTGATTCAACAAACCACTTTCCTGTTCAGAACATATTTTTTTTTTTTTTTTTTTTATTTTCTATGCAAAGCAATTTAGTTTCAAGGTCATATTTTAATTTCATGAGGTGGTTATTCGAACCCCATCTTTCTTTGTCTACTGCTTTCTAAAATAAACTTGATAGCTGCTTGTTTATCTCTTGGCAAATTCCAAGTCATGCAATCTAATGATGGTTTATAAAGGCAATTATAAGAAGAAATAAGCCAAACCAAATCCATTAAAACCAGATCACTTGTCATATATACTCAAAAGAACAAGAAGTTTTTTTTTTTTTTTTTTTTTTTTTCTTAAATTCAAAACTTTAAAAAAACATTTTATAGTATTTCCCAGTATGTGAAATTTTTTTCTTTTAAATGCATTACCTAAAATCTTTTTGAAGATTTATTAATTATTTTTAATACTTTCTGTGTAAAAAATAAAATAATCACATATGTTTCTGTCTAGCTTTGATGTCAGAGTGACATAAGTGTCAGTGATTAATTCCATCTTTTTCTTCAAGTTTCATAATTCCTACAGATAAATCCTTTTGATATCTTCAGACAACTGCCACTGTGACATAAATTGGTGGTAATGTACTTTGTTGTACATCTTACTACATGCAAGTGCATTCTCTCTCCCCCCCTTTTTTTTTTGCTTGCATGTGTGCGTGTACATTTGTTTTTGTGTATGCATTATTATGTTTTTTCACAACTGTTATTTTAAATGAAAGCTAATTTAAATGATGAAAAATGAGATTCGTTACCCACCTATCAGGTAAAAACAGTAATGACTGGGAAAAATCTAATATCTTGTTAAGAGTCATGAAGACAGAAGGGACAAAAATAGTGAACTGAATAATCACAACAATAACTGCGATATGGTCTTACCTGATGATTTTATTGGTGATGATTCAATATAATAATTTTCACTAAATTTCTACTAGAGTAAAGAGAAATTCAGATTTTAACCCTCTAAGTGGCTTCTGAGTGAACCTGCTCGACCTAAATTTAAACATCATTTACTAACTAAATGTGTCTCAAAAGACCTGAATTTAGAAAGCATTCATTACCAAGATGTGTAAAATTACTTATTTTAATCTTTGTTTTCATAAATTTCCATTCATTAAGATGACATTTACATCTTTAAAGAAAGTAACAAAGAAAAATATTTATATTATAAGCTAATATACACCAAGTTATAAGGTATTTTCTATCTCCTTTCCACACACCTTCTTGGTATAACTGGAAGCCCACTCAATGTGTATTTGAGAGGTCCCGGATTCAAGTCCCAGCGAGAGGACTATACGTTTTTCATGTCTCCTGCTTCAAAATAACCTAATGACTTTTCAGGCAGCACCTGAACTAAAAAGTGGTGGATGATTATTCATCATGACTAGAATTTCACGATTGGGTCACCAAATCCCCAATCACCCTTTTAAAGGGAAGTATATCGGGTATTTCCTCACTCCTTTCTGTATGCCTCTGTTGTGTAACTGGAAGCATACTCAACGCGTATTGGAGAGGTCCAGGGTTTGAGTCCCGATGAGGACAATGCACATTTTTCACATCTCCTGCTTCAAAATGATCTAATTACTCAACAAAGTGACCAAAAAATCTCATGACCACTGAAAGGCAGTCGTACCACTCAGAGGGTTAAAAAAAAAGGAATGAAAGAAAATTAGAAAGTTCTCCCGAACTCGTACTGAATGAAAATTAAAAAATTCTTCAAGTAATGTCTTGAAAATAAATCACTTCATGTTAAGTTTATGTATAGGTTGTATGTAAGTTTATATTTAATAATGTATCCATACTTAATTTAGCTTTATATTTTGAGATTTTATGAAATTGTCTGATTCACTGAAAGGGAATTAGTCTTTTATTGTGCATTTCAACACCATCTTTTCAATAAAGACGAATTCTTTAGATATAGATTGAAATTATATTCAATAAATTCAAGATTATTCTGATAATTTTACAATAAAATACTATAACAATATAAAGCATATAGCAAAAATTCCAAGATCATTTTCACATGATGATTTCAAAAACTTCATATACTAACTTTTAAGTTGGCATACAGGCCCACCTATTGTAGAGGGGGGGGACTGTCATTTGAGCACTGGTTTCGGCTAAGGCAACATGCAAAAGGACTAAATGTAGTAATTACGATTAATAAAGTTGTTAAGTGTTCTTTATTATACAATCCACTCATTTAGTCTAGAATTATAGAAACACAGTGCATTGATCCTTACAGCAGAATCAAGAACAAAATATGGTATTGGATAGAAGTGAAATAGCATTAAAAGTGAAATTAACTAGATTAGAAAATATAGTTAAGGAATATTATGGTAGTGTGAATAAAAATAAAATTCAAATACAGCACAGATCACTTCAAAGTATTCAAATGAACAACAGAAACTTAAGAAATATATATTTTCAAAGTATTGATAAAAAAGAAAATGCCACAGCTTTTAATGAAGAAACCAAAGCAGAAGAAAGAATGGAAGTTTTGGAGGCAAGAAATTCTATCGTCTATTGTACATTCTGGTCATGGAAGTAACTCTAGTAAATTTGATGCTAAAGTAAAAATATGTTTGCCAGAATTAACGGTTCCTAAATTTTCTGGTAACTATACCAAATAGAATAATTTTAAGTTGCAATTTGAAAACATGATTGCAAATAATACTCAGTTCACAAAAGTTCAAAAACTCTATTAATTTAAAGGCTGCATTAATCGATGAAGCAAACAAATATTAAAACTACTGATGATACTTTTAGTTCTCTATTTAAAGATCTTCAAGGCAGGTATGAAAAAAAAAAAAAAAAAAAAAAAAGAAAAAAAAAAAAAAAAAAAAGAGGAATCTTAATTGAGATGCATATAAGGTCAATAATGGATTTACATAATTTTAACTTTTGAAACATTGAAAGGGATAAGACATGTAATAGATAATGTTAGTAAAAACATAATGGCTTTGAATATTTTAAAGGAAAAACAATAAATTGCCCATTCTGTTATTGAATATAATACTTCATAACCTAGATTATGAAATGTGTAAACATTTGGAACTAAGCATTAATGTTACAGAAGTTCCTATGTTTAATGAATTAATTTCAGATTTAGAGGAAAGATGTCAATTATTAGATAATAATAAATGTGACTCATATTTATAATTAAACCCAAATCAAAGATACGAAATAGTTTAGAATAAATTGTGTTTAAACTATTTTAGTAAAAGATATTTTATTGCAAAATATAGTTCCAATTTTCTGAATGCAATAAAAAACATTTTTTTTTTAATCCATCACCTACTCAGCAATGGCACCGTAGATCAACAGTTAAACAGAACAAAACCATAAACATCGAGTGACCAGTTTATATCAATCAAGTTGTCTTTTGACAGGGGAAATAATGAGTTATTAGCAACTGTAATAGTGTATGTTTGTAATTCAGAAAGAAAAAGAATTCCAGTTTGCCCCATTCTTGATAATGGCAGCATACATTGTTTTCTAATAGAAATATTTTCCAATTTGTTAAATATAAAGAAAGAATTTATGCATCCGTATCCAGAATAAATGACAATGTTATAAATATTAATTATAAAGTAGAAGTACAGATTTCAAATAAAATTTAACATACGCAAGATCAATTAACTGTTTGGTTATTTCTAAAATTACCAATATAATCCAATCAAGGAGTTTAGATGTCCAGTCAATTTGCTGATCCGCAATTTGGAACTCCTAACAAGTAGATATGCTATTAGGGGCCGTATTCTTCTTTCAGATTTTAAAACTAGGAAATTTTGAATTAGAAAACCAATTGTTGATATTCAGAGAAACACTTTTTGGATATCCTGCATTCGTTCATGCAAGAATAACACAGAAGTAAATTACTGTGGCTTAGTTCTGATAAGCTTAACAAAATTTTGCAAGAATTTTGGGAAGTTGAATCCACTGAAAATATGAACTGTTTTGAGTGAGTTTTGTAAAATTGTTTTGTGTGAAGACGAAAAATACTGTAAAGAACATTTCACACATAATCAGTACAGACAAAATGATGAAAGATATGTAGTTCAATTACCCACTAGGAAAACTGCAGAATTAGTAGTATCGAAAACTCTTACCAAGGAAAGATTACATCAAGTTTGGAATCAACTAGAAGGGAATTTGAATATGAAAACTTGGCATAAGAATTTTAACAAGGAATATAAGGATTTAAATCACAAGGAAGAAGTTCAAGAAATTGAATCATCGATTTGCAGTTATCTCAGTCATCACACAGGAGAAGCAGAGAAGTTGCAGACACAGTTAGTCTCTCTTCTAGAACATGGTGGAATGGTGTTCAAATAATACTGAGCTATTAAAGAACGGAAAAAGTGCAACTCAGGATTGTTCTTTTCAAGTTACTGATATGTCTCAGGTTACAAAAGCCCTCAGAATGTCATGGAGTATAGTTACAGATAGTTTTTCTTGTGATTTAATGATACCTGACATT